GCAAAAGTAAAGCAAGAAATAATTTCGCTTATGATGATTTTGACCATGACAATTATCATGATATGATTTTCTCCGTGAATGAGACATTCACCATATGGAAGGTGTGACAAAAGATCTTGTAGTACAAAATTAATTAAGAGCTCCGAAAGAACTAATTTGTTACTATCCGGATGAATGAAATTGTTCTTGACATTGATATTGTAGTAAGTCTCAAAAGAAACTTTTTGAGTTTCAAATGTATTAGCCAAAATGGTTCGCATATTGAGACTATAAATGAAAGGAATATTGAATATCCTCATATTACTATAATCATATTGGGTAAATCTAAAAGGTTACCCGACTTTTATTCTCTTTGTACTACAGAAGTATAAGCATGGTGATAGAATCACATGCCATAGTAAATTAGATGCAGTTGGCATGATCGGTCGGCCATTCCGGTTCAATTATGATGCGAAAAATGATTGAGAATTCACATTGGCATATATTCAAGAATTAGAAGATTCTTCGAGAATTCTCATATTCGACTTGTTCTCATGATAAATTGATTACTATACTAGATGAGGTTGGAATTGTGTTCCCTGATTTTTGAAATGTATAAAAGGTTATATATATATATATATATAGGCCCAGTCACCTGCCATGTGGACCGTTTACTATTATATAATGGGCTCAATCACCTGCCATGTGGACCATTTACTTTTATATGATTTCAATAGATGCATCTATTGTATGGTCACATGTGCGTTTGTTATCAACTTGCAATTTAGATTTTGCAAGGTTGATTGCTCAAATTACTAGAGCACAATTCCACAATATAAATTATGATGATTTATCTTGATAATACTAGTTTAAATCTAAGTTGGTTTAGCAGAAGTTGTATACCTCCAATTATAGCTAAACCATTGGTTATGAGAACAAAACTCCCAAATAAAAATTTGGTATGAGGTGTATTATTTAATATACAACAATACTTGTACACATCTAGCCAACAAGTTATGAAAAATTCTCCCTGTCACAATTGGTTCAGGGTCAGGAACCAAATAACTTCCATCTAGAAATATGGGTGTGCTATATAATCTAATTATCCCACCACAATGCATAAAAATGGGTTCCCAAAGAAGGTTGAAAATGTGTTGGTGATCCCAACATTACAAGGAGAAAATGAGCAGCTGAAAAAGTAAAACATAGAATGAATTATTCTGCTAATGCTCCAACTAAAATAAAGTCTATGGTGGACAGAGTCTATGACACGTTGGTTCCAAAGATAAAATTCCTTGAAGAAGGAGTGGAGAAAATGATCAAGATGGTCATTATAAAGAGGCAAGTGCTCTAAAAGAGCACCACGACATAACACTCTACAAGACTTCATGGAAGAGGCTCAGATTCCAATAATATTGAAGATGGTGCTGCTTGCATAGCTCAATTGAAAGAATGATATATTGAAGAAGACAAAGCACATTTAGCCAAAGTTTCTTTGCAGAGACGATCTTCAAGAGAACGATGAAATAGATGTTCAAGAAATTCGTTCAAGTGATAATTTGGCAGAATAATTCACCAAGGTATTGTCGATCTCAATATTAGAGTAGTTGTTATACAAGCTTGGAATTCATCGTCTCCGAGAAATAAAGTGATATTTTCATTAGGGGGAGGCAAATACATGCTTTACTCTTTTTCCCTTAGCTAAGGTTTTATCTCATTGAGTTTTCCTGGTGAGGTTTTTAATGAGGCAGCAAGTAATGCGTATTACAAGATATGTGTACTCTTTTTCCTTCACTAGGAATTTTTTTCCACAGGGTTTTTCCCTAGTAAGGTTCTAACGAGGCACATTATCTTTGAACATCCAAGGGGGAGTGTTATGAAATACTTGATTATGGTGGATGTCCATAACTCCTAAGAGTGTAACACCCACTACTCTTCTCCATTAACCTTCCACTATTCTTACCATTATAGATGTAACTCCCACAGTTTCTTACCATTATGGATGTAACTCTCACACCTCCATAATATTTCTCCATGTTCTCAATAGTTAATACCATGTTCATGGCATTCCTTTGTATTACCTATATCATCTTATAAATAGAGGGTTTGGACATCACATTGTACACATTTGGAAAACACTTTAAGAAATAAGAATTTATCCTCTCTTTCTGTAATGACCCAACCGGTCGTTATAAGAATTAATGCCCCGATCCCCTATTAACTGCTTACCCCGTATTTGTTTATGCTATTTGATTTGCCGGGATGTTTGGTTTTGAGTTTCGGAGTGTTTTGAGACACTTAGTCCCTAAATGAGAGCTTAAGCATTAGAATTTGGACCGTAGTCGGAGCAGTGCGAAGACAACCTCAGAATGGAATTACGTTGGTTCCGTTAGCTCCGTTGGGTGATTTCGGGCTTAGAGACATGTCCGGATTGTATTTTGGAGGTCCGTAGCTTATTTAGGCTTGAAATGCCGAAAGTTGAATTTTTGAAGTTTCCGGTCCGATAGTGAGATTTTGATATCGGGGCCGGAATGAGATTCTGGAAGTTGGAGTTTCCACGTAGTGTTGAATGTGACGTGCTTGCAAAATTTCAGGTCATTCGGGAGAGGTTTGATAGACTTTTTGATCGAAAGCGTAATTTGAGAGTTTTTGGAGTTCTTAGGCTTGAATCCGATGTTAAATTGGTGTTTTGATGTTGTTTTGAGTGTTCCGAAGATTGGAACAAGTTTGAATGATGTTTTAGGATTGGTTGGAATATTTGGTTGAGGTCTCGGGGGCCTCGGGTGTGTTTCAGATGCTCAACGGGTCATTTTTGGAACTTAGAAAATTGCAGAAAAAGTTGCAGCAGTCAGTTCTGGTTTCCTTCTTCGCGTTCGCGAGTGGGGTCTTGCGTTCACGAAGAGGAGCTGGGGCTGGTGAAGGTTTAATGCTTCACATTTGCGAAGGTCTTCCCACATTCGCGAAGATGGTCCCGCGTTCCGTATGAGGGGGAAGTTGGTCACCGTGTTCGCGACAGGGGCATCGTGTTCGCGATAAAGGAAAGTTGGACCAAGCGGAGTACTGCGTCGTGAACGCAAGGGTCCTTCCGCATTCGCGAAGAAGGAAATAGCTGGGCAGAATATAAAATTTCAAAGTCGAGGGTTTAGCCATTTTTGTGAAAACTAGAGCTTGGGAGCTCGGATTTGAGCGAGGATTTGAGGAATTTTCAGAGATATCGATTGGGTAATGATTCTTAACTCCTTTTTGCTTATAACCCATTAATCTAAATATGAATTCATTATCTAATTTCGGATTTGGGGTGAGAAATTGAGGAAAATTTGGAGAAAGTTCTTAGACCTAAATTTCGAGTTTTGATTGGGAATTTGACATTGGATAATTTTGGTATGGCTAGACTCGTGAGAGTATGAGGATTCTAAAAACGTAAATTTTACCCGATTCCGAGACGTGGGCCCGAGTGGTATTTTGGTTATTTTACCTAATTTCGCGTATTAGCTTAGAATTTATTTGTAGGATTAATTACTTGAAGTATTATTTACATTATGCAATTGAATTGAATAGATTTGGGCCATTTGGAGTCGAGTACTCGTGGCAAGAACGTGGTTTCGGGTTGATTTTGAGCCGGTTCGAGGTAAGTGGCTTGCCTAACCTTGTGTGGGAGAAACTCCTCTTAGGATTTGGTATTGTTGATAATTGAAACGCCTTGTACGTGAGGTGGCGAGTGCGTACTTGTGCTAATTGTTGAAAATCCCGTTTTCATAAGTAACTTTAATTGTGTTTTCCCTTCCTATTTATTCTACTTGCAATTTAAGTCTGCTGTTAGCTTAGGGAATCATGTCTAATTGACTTAATTGCTTTATTTGCTCAAACTGCCTTATTTGGACTATGTGAAGCATGCTAGGTTAGAAAATACCTATTTTACCTTGGTGTGAAATTTAATTTAATTGAGTATTCTTCGTGTTGCTGCTGCGTGTTTACTTTGGGACTACGGGATGGTATCCTGGGAGATCTCTTGCACATATATATATTGATTTGGACTGTAGTGCGGGATACTAAGAGATCCCCAACACATATTGAGGATACTAAGAGATCCTTGGGATACCGAGAGATCTCCAGCATATATATTGAGGATACTAGGAGATCCTCGGGATACTGAGAGATCCCCGACACACATATTGAGGATACTAAGAGATCCCCGGTTGTTATCTCTGTGTTGAGCTGTACTCCTTTCCGTGATTATTTTGTCTATGTTATAGTTGCTGTTGTTCTTGCTATTTTGCGTTATTTCTTACTGTTGCACTTAATTATACTGTCTCATTCTATATTGTTACACCTTATATTTCATTTAATCTCAGTAGGGCCCTAACTTTCCTCGTCACTACCTGACCGAGGTTAGGTTTGGCACTTACTGAGTACCGTTGTGGTGTACTCATGCCCTTTCTGCGCATGTTTTTCATGTGCACATCCAGGTACTTCCACTTAGTCTTATCGCACTTGAGGCGAGGCGCTTTCGTACAAACTTCGAGGTATATCTGCTGCGTCCGCAGATTGAAGAGTCCTTTTCTATTCTCTACTAGTATAGCCCTTCTGTACTTTCCTTGTTGATAGATATTTCCGGAGTTAGAGTTTTTTATGTAAATTCTTAGCTTGTGATTCATGGAGTTCCGAATTTTGAGAGTATTAGGTTGAGATTCTTGTATTGTTCTATGCCAGGCGGCATCTTAAACACTGTTTCATTTTGTTATCTCGGATTTTAATTATTTTCTTTTCCGCAATTGTTTTTTTTCCGCATTGTTAGACTTACTTAGTCGTAGAGACTAGCCGTCACGATAGTTAACGAAGGGCGAACTGGGGTCGTGACACTTTCTCTCTACATTCTTATTTATTTGCTTGTTTCATATTATTACTTTGAGCTAAGTTTCTTAATACTCACAAGATCACACGTATATAACATGACTAATATACAAATAAATAGTCGAGTAACGATATGATTTAAAAAATTTGGGCACGACATTGGGCTCTTAAAATTCTCACACTACAACAGCTTATTTTGCCCGCCACCATTAAATAAACCTTAAACCATTAAAACCCTACTCCCTTTTTTCACACTCTCCTTGCTCAAATTTCCAGTTGCTTTCGTTGCACCACCACACGGCTGTAGAATTTACCGTCTAGGGTTTGGATTTGTTGTGAAGCTGAGCTCAGTTGAAGCCCTAGGAATTCTTGCTCTAAGACGTTTTCAGAAGAAGATGTCTTGGGACAACGAGATTGTGATGCGTGATGTTACTAATGCGGGACTTGTAGTTAGTGACCGCATTGGCCGTGACGTTGCTTCTCAAGTCGATCTCGAAGACGCCTTGGAAGCTTCTAGATATGCCAGTCATCCCTATACCGCTCAACCCCGTGAGGTAATCTAGTTATGATGTTTGAGTTGTTGGGATTTATATTGTCTTTATTTTATATTGGTGCTGGATTTGAACGATACTTGCAATGTGATGTTGTAAATGCAAATTCATAAATGCTGGTTAATTTCTTATTTATGTATTTTTCTAACTTGTATGCTTCACTTTGGAGAAGAAGCCAGTACTTCGTAAATTATTTGCTTGTTGCTTAATGGCTAGGAGTAGTTTATCTTGTGGTTTCAACTATTGAAAACATTAGGACGAATCACCTAATCCACCCAATTGTTACCCCAAGTTTAACACTGAATTGGGACTGATTAATTTTTTCCTGTGTATACCAGTAGAAGTGCAAGTTTTTTGTGAGAAATTGCTGTAATTAGGCATAGTTTGTGTAAATATATGTACATTTATATTACTAATCACAGTATCAAATTATTTTCTAATGAGTTTTCATATTATAGCGTTGCCTCAGCGTTTAATATTTTTAAAGAATGGATTTTTTATTCTCATGAATCAGAGGAAAGACTCTCTGAAGAAAACTAAAATCAATTGCAATAACCTTTACAGGTGGCAACTCTCGTCAATCACGCTCTATGGAGTAAAAGTGGTTGAAGAAGCTGTTTGAAGTCGAAAAAGTAGATTATCCTTCAAAGCATATATATATTTTACAGAGACTTATCAAAAAAGAAAATAAAAGAAAAGCATATATATTTTACCAAGATGGGAGGATATATTCTCAAGCTTTATAAGAAAACAGTAAAGATAATTATGAAGCAAGAGTGTCAATGGAGTAATTAGTAGTTTCAACACTGCATCTTTCAAATTTCATATTTTTTAAGGAAGGCATTAATCTAATTTCAGAAAACTCACAAAAGAAGTGATTATAGCGTGTGAAAGATTTTCAATTATTTAACGTCATAATCATCCTCATCAACAGCAATACTGATCTTGTTTCTTATGTTACTATTTCCATTTAGCAGCTTTAAATTGTATTCATAGCACTGAATCTGTTCGTTCATGTTACTACTGTAGTGGCCTCCTTTGGTGGAAGTCGTGGATTCTTGGGAGTTGCCTTCTGTATTGATTGAGAGATATAATGCCTCCAGTGGGGAAGGAACTGCATTATGTGGAATATTCCCTGAAATACACAGAGCTTGGGCATCAGTGGACAACACATTGTTTCTTTGGCGGTTCGATAAGTGGTGAGAATAATCAAAATTGCTTAATTGCTTGACAAATCATTAAAATTTCATTAATATCACACCAGCTTGGGACTTTCTATGTCCCATCAACAATAGTCCAGGGGTGTCTTAACTATTATTCATTAATTATCATGCCAAGGCCGTGCTTTCTATGTACAAAGCTTGTAACTCAACCATAATCAGCCTGGTTTTTTAGTGGAGACGGGTAGAGGGGGAGGGGCATTATCCCCGAGCTTCTAAGGTTGCTGTTGGTCCTAAGGGTTTGCCCGAACAAATTTCTAAAAAAAGTAAAAATAACTCAACCACAATCATTTAACAAAAATTTGTTTGCATTTTCCGAGTTGTTAAATCCGTTTTTCTTAGTTGGTCAAATGTACATTAGACAATTTTCAGTTCCGCTGATTGTGACTTTTGACCTTGCCTTTCAAATTCAATTGTCTGGTATTGATCTTTGAGCATTGATCGATCTTCTTTTACCTGAAAAATATATATATCCGTTGGGAATATACTAGGTCCATTGTTGTTGTTGTTTGCTAGCCTCCAAGCCCCAAATTATTTGTTATCCAATCCTTAAACCATTTTGGATGATGTTATCTTTCAAGTCCGGAAAAGCATGGGCCTTTAAGTCATATCCACAGTCAAGGTTCTGTTTGTATCACTGAGGTTTTTTAGATATGCTTAGGAAGTTTACTTATGTATGTAATGAGCTATGTATTGAGCATTTCGGGATGGGATTATTTGTGGTACAACAACAACAACAAACCCAGTGTAATTCCACAAGTGGGGTCTGGGGAGGGTAGTGTGTGCTATTATTTATGGTAATAAAGGCTTATTAATGTCCTTTTTCTTGGGCTGTACTTCCAAACAGCATTTTCTCTATGCTGTTTTTACATTAATACAATCCTTACTTTACCTATCCAAAAAAAAAGCTTTAGTCTCTTTTGCTTTCTAGTCTACTGCCTGACTGCCTCTGTCCCAATGATACCTTTTTATATTTAGAATCAATTTAAGTTTACTTCTCATTTTACCCTTAATGAGATGATTTATAGCCACACATATTTATGGCTTGTTTTAGACCACAAGTGTTAAAAGCCTTTCTTTTTTTTCTTTCTCAAAACTCAATGCTCAGTCAAAGTGCATCACATAAATTGGGACGGAGGTAGTATTATATTTTGTTTTGGCTAATGGTATCATGCTTTGCTTAGGGATGGCCACTGTCCTGAATATAATGGAGATGAACAAGCTATATGTGCTGTTGCCCTAGCCAAAGTCAAGCCTGGAATTTTCGTGGAGGCCATCCAGTATCTTCTGATCTTGGCAACTCCTGTTGAGGTGCTATATCTTCATGAATGTTAAACTTTATTTATCCAAGCTCTGTGATATGCATTTCCATCCATTTGATCGTGATTCTATGTCTTGTGATATGCATTTCCATCCATTTGATCGTGATTCTATGTCTATCTTAGTCTTAGCAATCTTGAACATGTGGGTATCTTTGATAGACATTCTGATGTTTACTTTAGGTAATTCTATTACTCTATAGGTGTAACTTTCATCATTCATCTTTTTCTTTAAAGCTAAAAGGGATTTTTTTTGACTGAGGATCACGATTAGAAAGATTGAGGACTAACTTTAAATAATTCAGCTGTTGAGCTTGCAAAAGTTGGGCTTTTACAACATCAGCTTAGCAATTTAAAGATGTAGAAATTTTGTTGTTTTGTCCTCAATCATATCTGTGTGCTTAGCTGTACACCATATTGCCTATAGATATGGAGATAATGGATTTCATACATGGAGAAGTGCAGATATCATTTGAGTTATCACTTAGCAGTATCATGGTAGAGAATGAATTTGTACATCTAAAGAATAGCCTCCAGTTTTAAGTTAATTTTTGGTGCATTCATAAGATCCTTATTGGTAATATAGGAGATTTCATGTTTTTTTGGGGTAAAGAACCATACTTTTGTGTTGGTTCCCTGCTTTTTTATATACTAATTGTATAAGGGAGTTTTCCCACATCAATAATATTATTACTTTATCAAAAGAGTAGGTGTCAGAATTCTAATGGATTAGTGATGTCGGCATTGGTTTGCTTAAATTGCCGCTGAACTTTAGAGTTTAGACGTCTGTTTCAACTTTCAAGTCCATGTTACCTCCTCTTATCTTTTAATAACATCAACTTGTTCTACCTTTGTCCTTTGGTCCTCTCATTTACCTCTAGCTCTGTTGCACTTAGTTGATCCTTGTAGGTGTATGTTGTTCTGGGAGCAGCGACGGAACTGATCCATATGCTGAGGTGTCACTTCAGCCATTACCAGATTATACAATTCCATCTGATGGAGTGACCATGACATGTATCAGTTGCACAGACAGAGGTCACATTTTCCTTGCTGGTCGTGACGGCCACATTTATGAATTGCAATACTCAACTGGTTCAGGGTGGCAGAAACGATGCCGCAAGGTCTGTCTAACTGCAGGTGTCGGAAGTATTATATCAAGGTATTCACTTTTCTCTTAATTTGTTCTTTTAATGGGGGTGGGAGTGGAGGTTGTTTCAGTAATCTACACGAAACTCTAATTTACCTCCGTTTGTTTGCTTTTGCAATTTGCATAGCCACCAAGGGCTTTCCAGAATCGTATAAGCATCTAGGTTCTCAACTTTGCCTACTTAATCTTTTTCCTTATTTTTGCATGCCTTTTTAGAACCTTAACGTGAAGAGCCTGAGTGTGGAGTGAGGTGTAAGGATAATAGCTGTTTTATTTCCTGCAGGTGGGTGGTGCCAAATGTTTTCAAGTTTGGAGCCATTGACCCCATTGTTGAAATGGTCATTGACAATGAGAGACACATCTTATATGCACGCACCGAAGAGATGAAAATTCAAGTGTTTTCTCTTGGAGCAAATGGGGATGGACCCCTTAGAAAGGTAGCAGAGGAGAGAAATTTGATAAATCAGAGGGATACTTATGGTGGTAGGCAACCAGCAGGTTCAAGGGCTCCCAGATCAGCCAAAACAACCATTGTTTCCATCTCACCGTTGTCTTCCTTAGAATCAAAGTGGCTACACCTTGTTGCTGTTCTGTCAGATGGCAGAAGGATGTATCTTTCCACCTCTTCTTCTGGTGGAAACAATAGTTCTGCTGGAAATTTCGGTGGTGTTAACCATCAGAAGCCAAACTGCTTAAAAGTTGTAACGACTAGGCCGGCTCCTCCTCTAGGGGCAGGTAGTGGGCTTCCATTTGGAGCTGTATCTCTTGCTAGTAGATCACAGAGTGAAGATCTGTCATTGAAGATAGAATCAGCTTATTACTCTGCTGGGACTCTTTTCCTTTCTGATTCATCTCCATCAACTGTTTCTTCTCTTCTTATTGTAAATCGTGATTCAGGCTCTCAATCTTCTTCTAGTAGTTTGGGAGCAGTTGCAAGGAGTTCCCGCCCACTTCGTGAATTGGTGTCATCCCTGCCAATTGAAGGGAGGATGCTTTTCGTGGCAGATGTCCTACCTCTACCAGATACAGCAGCGGCGGTGCAGTCACTTTATTTACAGCTGGAATTCTGTGGCTATGATAACTCAGGTGAATCCTGTGAAAAAACCTCAGGTAAACTTTGGGCTAGAGGCGATCTTTCAACCCAACATATA